GCTCTACGGGGGATTTTTGGTCGAGCCTACGTACTCGGATGCCCCACATTAAATGCCACATGTGACCGCGTGGGGCGGTTGCTATTTATCCTACAGTTGTAGATTCTTGTAGCAGTTGACTACTTCTACGCGCTGCTGGCAAATCTTGTATGTGCTGTTCGTGTCCTAAGTATTATCGAGAAAGTGACTAAAGATGCCAAGTCAGGAGAAATTATATTACAGATCCTTCTGTGTATTTTGTCAAGAACCGATAGATGAATAACAGTAGCACCAGACCAGATATGTCAGCAGTATTAAATGTATAGACGAATCGTAGGTTTGTAAATGTGTAAGATGGATTTGAAAAGAAAAAAAAAATCTGGCACGACACAGTGTCCCAACTTTCCCTGCAATAGATGCAGCAATAGATTCGATGTAGTCGCTGCACTTCAAGTTAGTTGAAAATGTGAGGCGACGATGGCGTAGTGTGTTGCTCTCCAGAAGACTAGCCCTAGACATGCTGATGGCAGGCAGAAAAAAGTTTCTCTATGGTGGTTAAGTTAGAGCAATTTTGTTTTGGAGTCGTTAAAATTTACAAGCCTTTATATAAGAAGAATGTTACTGTGTATAAACGGAGAAAACTTCGAGGTATAAATTCCAAGAACATGGTTCTCTGGAATCTCATTTGTTGGCAGGGAAGAAGTTCATTGCCGATATGACCCAGAAGTATCGGTTTCCTTGTAAATGATCTTAATAGTTTAGAGCAATTTCCAGAAAACGTTTCGTGATTCTAAATTCCGGTCCCAATGTAGGTTATTACTGAGATCTTTGCAGAATAACAAAATTACTAACATTTGTCATGATGGAAGTCATGACCTATTAGTGCCAATTACTTTGAATTATGCAGCATCTTTCTTACCTGATATCTAATTTTTTTATGATGATGGTTCAATATCTTATATAATGCGATCTTGAATTAAAAATAATTCGTCTAATTTTTCTTTTAAGTAAAACAGCAATTGCATAAGGAATTTCTAGCCAAGCAAATTATATCTGATCTTCCTTTTCAAAAGGATTTAAAATATTCAGACAAATTGAATTTTCCATTATTTATTTCGATTCACCGCATTCAATTAATTTCATCATAGTGACGAACTTTGCAACGAAGAACTAGAATTTTTAATTTTATTTTTCAAGCCGGAACTTAGAAACCGAAAGATTTAGAAGGAAATAATTCAGCGAGTGTGAACTGTCTTTTCTCTCTTTTCTCAAGAGAAATATTTAAATAAAAGAAAAGATGCAGTTTTACGCTTCTGGCCCTCCTCAATATATATATATATATATATATATATATATATATATATATATATATATATATATATATATATAAATTGATCAATAAAACGAATTTTGAAAGTTGAACTATACAAAATGCTGCCAATGGAAGGAGGGTGTTGGTCTCGAAAACTCTATCTGCATAACATTAAAAAAATAATTAAATAAAAAATGTTGGTGTAATTAAATGAGTGACGATTAATTTCAACTCGAGGGTAATTTGCAGTTCAAACCCCACATTCAGTTTCTAATAAAAATATAACGATAGTTCCATTTAAGTGTAAATGTACATGCTTAACTCGGAAATAACAAAGAATTTATTTTTTTAAATCTATGTTTTTGGAATTATCGACATTAAAATGTCGAACTCATTCGCGTCGCGGAAGGTGAAGTTGAAATTAATTCTTCATCCCAAGTAAAACTAAACGCGCCTTACATTCATACAAAGTCGTAAGTTTAAATATATATATATATATATATATATATATATATATATATATATATATATATATATATATATATATATATCCATCCCGCCAAATAATACCTACACCAAAGTTTCATAAATCCTTTCGTGTTTGAAAATTTACCTGATCTCGTATTTTGATATTTAATCAAGTGTTTCAGTGATAAAAAAATATACATGAACCACCTATTAGAGTTCCACATAAAATCATGTTTTAGTTTTAACGAACATATGAAATTTACATTTACTTACTGAAATAAATGTTAGACTAAAAAAACAACTTGAATTCACAGTTCTTGAAAATTTTAAGCAGGCAACTATTTTGGTAGAAATATTAAATACGTTGCAGTTTTTTACTTTAAGAACTGATTTGGTTTCCTTATCAACAATTTTCAGCTTTTTTAAAGCCATAAATATATTTAGAGTGGAGGAATTGGGTGGAGGAGATAATAACGGTTTAGTGATACAATTCTTATTAATTAACCCATAGCTGGGGGAAGATGGGGTGGATTCTTACCTTTCCCAGGGTTATTTGCACGTGAGTGAATACAACGATTGGAACTCGGCACTCCGATTAACAACTCCGTGCCTTTATCCATTACACGACTCACATATTCAAGCTTTTAATATCTGGCGTTCCCAAGGGGTTACCCATCTAGATACAGACTAGTCACGACGATGCTTAACTTTGGTGATCGTACAGGAACCGGTGTTTCAACA